TTTGATGACCGGCTAAATCTCAGAAGAAGAAATTTAACCCTGTTTCCGGAGGGAGCTGAGAGTGAGGGGGGAGTTTGATGGTGACAATCAGCCAATCAAGTAAGCACACATCTCTGGGGAGGGGGGGAAGAGAGGATTGTCCGTGCTGCGCTTAAGGTAAGCCATGCCAATCATCACGTAGGCAAAGAGCCCTCACTGAATGCTCCAGATTTACATTTGAAGGTCCAGAGCAACTCTACTTGGGGGCAGGAGGGGGTGAGAAATAGCAGGAAAAGAGTGATTCTGTTCCCCCCTGTGTTTCTCCTCCAACAGGATGTGACAAAAGCTGAAATTGGGGGGGGGGGAATCCAAACAGGCCAGCAGGGAGGTCTGTAGCTCAAAAACGTGTCCCTTGATGGAAGGCTTTTGCTAGCCGTAGGGTGCATTGGTGCCAGGTTTCATGTACCATTCAAGAACCCTTGAAATCACAATAGCACCATAGGCCCCAATCTCCTCCTCCTTGGTGGGGAAGCTGGCAGAAAACAGACAGGGCAGGACAGCATGTTTTTGAATGGGGTAGATTTCTTGTGAGTTTCCAAGGAGACAGGCTGGAGGGAAGGGGCAAGGAATAATGTCCACACCGGATAATTGGGGACTTGTTTTGTGTCATGGAATGTGTACAGTGGATATTCCCTTACTGTGGGCTTGGTGAGGCCTTATTTTTTTAAAAAAGGACTAGAAGACCTCCAAGTTCCCTTCCAATTCTGCTTTTGCTGTATTCGGTAGCTGTTTTTAATTCCTCTTTTATTACTTTATAAGTAACTCAAGGTGGCAAACATACATAATATTGCTTCCCCCTCCTCCTATTTTTCCCACAACCACCCTGTAAGGTGGATTGGGCTGAGAGATTGACTATCCCTTTTTTTTTTTTTAGTTTTAAAATTGAACTTTATTATTAAAAAAAAGGCATTTAAAAACATACAAGTTTCTCTCAATTGAGAAACAAATTTACATATACAGTACATAAACTTCACCTATTGACTAATTTCCATTATTCTATATAAATATGTGTATTATATGTACATATATACAGACATACAATAAAATATTCCATATTCTATCCCTCTGACAGTGCTGTTTTTTGTTATATTAATTTCTTCTAAATTTCCTCTCTACCCATTTCCTTTCCTCTGGTTTATCCATTGGTATCATCTATTCCATGTTTCATGATATTTAGAGTCCTCCTTGTCCTGTAACTCTAAATTAATACAAAAAATATACACATGCGCAGAAATGGACAGATTAACTTTAGAACTTTAGAGATTGACTATCCCAATTGACTCTCATACCTAAGGTGGGACTAGAACTCACTGTCGCCTGATTACTGGCCTTGTTCCCTTAACCATTACTTTAAAAAGGCTCTCAAAACTTCAGCATCCCTGCCTGAACCACTCCTAAGAAGAACTTTAATGCCCTTAAAAACATACCATCAAGCGATAGACGAGGTGAAAAAAAGACAAATATTTTGGCCTAGAAGCTTCAGTGTGGAAGCATTGAAGTTAAAACAAAGAACGAGACTGACTACAGCTCGGCAAACTCTGGGACTGTTTTTATCGACAGTGACCTCTGAATGATTATAATGATGATAACGATAAACTGAGCTGCAAGAATTACATTTACAAGCTTAAAAGAGCCTTTTCTCAGAAGCACAGGCAATATTGTTCGGGCAGCCTAAGCTGCAGTCCAGCAACAAGGCCACCAGTGGGATGCTAAAGGCATTTGGGGAATGCTAAAGTCTGCAGTAAAAGAATAGTGGGAGAAAGAGGAGAAAGGAGGAGGAGGGTTTTAATTTAACAGATTATGTTTACTTTTCCTCTTCACCTTTGGACCATGAAACAAGTCAGTGAAACTCTGGGTGCTTATTACTTGGAAGAGGCATTGTGCACCCAGATTCTCCCACACCCACTCGCCACGACAGGGCAAATTCCAGTCGGGGGTAGCCTCTCCCTCATGACTGAAATTCTGTGCATATTTACTGAAAAGTATGTCCCAAAGTCAGTGTGGTGTAGTTGATAAAAGTTGTTGAGCTGGGACTGGAGAGAGCAAAGTCAGTTGTTGCTGAAGCGCATGAGGTGACTTCAAGGGGGAGGGGCTCTCTCTCAACTCATCTTGTTTCTCAGGGCGGTTGTAGGGGCAAAATTGGAAGAAGGCATACAATGCACCAGAGTTGGAACAACCAGTGTAATCAGTGATGGGAGAAAGATGACTAATAATGTGAATCTTCTTCCCCTTCTCCCTAGGGAACAGAGAGTTCAGCTGCATACCTGGGTTGTTGGAAGCCAGCCCCACTTTACTCAGTGTGATTTATTCTATGTGCATAGCAGTGTAGTCATTCCTACCACTCATTCCAAAGTGAATGCAGATGTGAAATCCTAACCAGATTAGCTTGGGCAGTAAAAAAAAAAAAAAAATCTGAGAGCTCAGTGCAATTTAATTATGAGAAAGCTGTTGTCAACAGCAGAGAAAGCAGAAGTGAATCTGGGAATAAAAAGTTGAATGAGAATGACAAGAGATTTACTAAGACATTGTAGTTAAAATCGGAACTGTACATTTCAACTCTATGGACAATTTTGTTGGGATAGATCTGGTAATCATCACGCACCAAATCATCTCATAAATGGACTAGTGAAAAATCCATGCTTTAGATTAGGTGGTCATCTATAATGACTAGGCAATTGAACTCAAGTGGCTGGATTTGCCTATTCCACTAATCTATAAAACGGTTTGATTCATTTTGGCCTAACATGTTGCATGAACCTATCACTGAGTTTTAAGTCTTAAAGTAGAGATCATTGCAGCCTAAATTAAAGAATATCCTAAGCCAGCAAAACCCTGATTTTTAGTCTAACCACATACCTATAACCAATGTCACATATTTTGGAATGAGTATGTTTAGGATTAGGGTGCATGACTTAAAATCCTGGATCAGAGAATATAAATCAGATTGACTGAGGTGAAATAGGGAAGACCTTTTTGCCTTTAAAAAAAAAAACCCTTTGCTATAAATCAAAAACCACGTTTGTTGTTGTTCAGAAAGGGATGCATGAGAGAGTATGTGTTTCATTACGAGTGAGATAGGCTGTTCTCAGAAAAACTTACCAGGATCAAATCAGATTAGCACTTGGATGTAAAAACTATCCAGGAATAGTTTAGGAAGTAAAAACAGTACATGAAAGTGCTCACAAACCACATGTGTATTGTGGTCAAGAGAACTACTGGATGTGTTCATGAATCAAATGTGACTTGAAGACAACTTAACCTTTGAGGAATCTTTTGTCTGCACTTAACATAGATCCACCAAGTGAGTTCCTGGTAAAGCTTATGCAGTTAGGTCATTGCTTCAGATTTTTACTGCAATTTATCATATAACTAGAGTCCAATCTAGTTTACCGTTCCTTGCCATGTCTCCATTCTTCTTTTGAAATCCCTGATTGCTAAGGAAGGTCACAGTTAGAGGACATAGCTTCTCAATTGATTTGAATAGATAATTTCAATAGCATTCAACTATCCACACAACAGATGTAACAAATACTTACATTTTATTCAAATTTTTAATAAACTGTTTATGGATGATTATGTTATCACTGATGTCAATAAAACTAATCAACAGCAGGGTAGTAAGGATTGAATGCAGTATTTTGGTATTTCTGTTTGGCAAAACATGCTTGAAGAATTACCAGAGATCTGGGCTACAAAAATCTGGATTGCCTCTAGAAGGAAAGAAATATTTCAGAGTTTTCTATGTTTGCTATTTGCTGGTTGCCCACCATATCATAGCCCTTTAAGATAAAACTCTTTGAAAAAAATGTTATTTGTGGTTTATTTATTTATTTATTTATTTATTGGTTCAATTTATATGCCGCCCTTCTCTGGAGACTCAGGGCGGCTTACAATGCGTTAAGCAATAGCCTTCATACTTTTGTATATACCTGCTTAGTAGGGCTTTCGGCCCCCCCCTCCAGCGGTGTTCTTTTTTATACAAAGTCAGCTTATTGCCCTCACAATCCGGGTCCTCATTTTACCCACCTCGAAAGGATGGAAGGCTAAGTCAACCTTGAGCCTGGTGAGATTTGAACTTGCAGTAATTGCAGGCAGCTGGTGCTAGTTAACAGCACATTAGTCTGCTGCGCCACCAAGGCTCTTGAAGATACTGTCTTCAATTGGTCTTGAATAGGCAGTCTACACTTGGGATTCAAACTTCTGTTGCTAAGCAAGGCAGCTGTTAAGTGAGTCACATCCAATTTTACAACTTTTTTGCCACAGTTACATCAACTCCTGCAGTTTTAGGTGAACCACACAGTTGTTAATCAAATCTGGCTTCTTCATTGACTTTGCTTCTCAGAAGCTGGTTGGAAGGTTGCAAATGGTGATTACATAACCCCGGGATGCTGCAACTGTTGTAAGAACAAGCCATTGCCAACCACCTGAATTTTGGTCACATAACCATGGGGATAGCAAAAGCACTTAGACTTATATGCTTCTTCACAGTGCTTTACAGCCCTCTCTAAGCGGTTTACAGATTCAGCCTATTGCCCCCAACAATCTGGGTCCTCATTTTACCCACCTCGGAAGGATGGAAGGCCGAGTCAACCTTGAGCCTGGTGAGATTTGAACTGCCGAACTGCAGGCAGCCGGCAGGCAGCAGAAGTAGCCTGCAGTACTGCACTCTAACCACTGCGCCACCATGGTTCAACTAGAGTTGTTAAGGACTGGTCATATTCCCTTTTTTCAGGGCTGTTGTAACTTCTAATGGTCACTAAATGAATGACTGCAAATTGAAGACTACTTGTAGTGCTCTACAGCCATGAGAGGGAGGGAGTTTCTCAAGTCCTGCAGTTACATTCAGAGGCTAGTAGAATTTATCCCCAATCTAAAAAGGTATTCCACCAAAAGAAATCTTAACAGCAGAGTTTTTGTAAAAATTGCAGAAATGTATCAAGCAAATGAACGACTGTAAGCTCTTTTTAAAGTAAGAAGCAATTTTCTTTATTTTATAGGGGATATTAGGAGTATAAAGCTACATACAATCATCTATCATTTATTTGTATGCTGCCCTTCAAAAACAGGCTTCCCCAGAGTAGTTTCACAACAAAATCAAACACATCAAAATGCAGATCAACCTTTTTTTTTTAATCAACAATCTGTTGTGCAACCAAATGCTCTATTCTACATTCCTTGTGTCCCCTTTTAATTCTTTGGAAAATTGATCCCTCTAATGCCTGGTGAGTCAGGCAGAAAGATTTGTTATACAAAAAATGCAGAAAGGAAACATAACGACAAAAGCAAACGAGGGAGCTCACATTGACTCTCCTGTTCCAATGTATGGCCACACAATCTTATTTGACACCCAAACAACACCCATTTATCACCCATTCAGATAATGATTAACATAGCTAGTTACAAGGTAGTTGTAGGTAGTTCTGAACCATGTAATCGTATTTCTTTCTAGTATTCCTTTTTATTATTCTCAAATTAAGGCCAAAGCAGTGGATAAGGCTTATTTCAAAATATATTATCCAATTTTCAGAAAACATATAGTGCAGGAATGAAAGTGCCAGTCTAATACCATTCCTTACTATTCTGTAAGAGTTTCTCCAAGGTTTTAGGCAGCAGCCTTAACCCAACAATGTTACCTGAGATTCTTTGAATTGGAGCAGGGAGTAGACTGAGTTGGAGTACATTTGGTAGATGCTTTTTAAAAAAAATTTTTTAAAGAAGAAATAAAATTGACATGTTGCAAAGCAATGTGCCAGCTTCAAACATAGCGTTTATTTGCTGCAATACTTTCAAGCCTGCAAAGGCGTAGATCAGCTCAATGATTTTGTGAACAGGGGATCTTCGCAGGGCAGCCCATTCTTAAAAGAAACATGAACCAAAATTCCAAATGTGTGATGGACCCAAAGGGTTGTCTACTTCTGCTATACAGCCTAGATGTATTGGGGTCACAACTGCACAGGTCGCTGGCTCCACTGCTTAGCAGAAAGGGCGTTCAGGTAAGACAACGCCCATTTTAACATGGAAACAGCTGAAAAAGCACTTGTGCCTTCCCACAGGCATTAAAAAAAGAGAGCTGAATTTCCGATCAGAGAAAAAAGGATGAGCAGATCCAAGAAAGGATGATGATGATGATATTCTTTTCCCTGTAACAGTATTCCTTTTTTTGATCTCGAGGTACTTAAACTTGTACACAGATTCACAAAAATCATACATTTGCCGGAGCCCAGCATTAGACGCCCAGGAAAGGTGCAGGCAATATGAAACTATGCTCCGTTTTGCTAGAATCCACCTCCCTCTTAAATCCTGGCACTCTTGCTGCTGTTTTTCAGGGGAACTGTGCATGCTGCCAGGGCAACAAATATGTGGGCTTTGCTAGGAAGAGCTCTCTTTTACAGATAAGGCTTCCATTTCTTGCCACACTGCTGCTGCACCTGCCTCGCATAACATATAAGGAGCATGGCTGGCTACAGATAGCTCCTGCCTAACCCACGCGGATTAAAGAAACCAGGAAATGGGAGGGGGGGATACATTGTGTTGGGGACAATCAGTAAGAATGACGTCACATTTTGGAACTTTAGAAAGGAAAAAGAAAAAAACTTAAAAGGAGGTTTAAAAAGAAACAAAAGGCCACTGTGCTGTGCTAGATCAGCAAAGCTCAATCAACCTAGACGAGGGGTTCCCCAACCCCTGGACCATGGCCCACCTCTGGGCCTTGAGCCGTTAGGAACCGGGTCACGGAAGTTGCAGGTGAGCATACCTATGTGCACACACATCCCCATTTGCGTGAACAGTGAGTGAGCATGTGCGCAAAGCGGTATATAAGTAAATGCTATTGCTATTTGCATGTGTGCCCAGCACTTGTGCAAATGGAGCTGTCCACTTGTCCACCGCTCACATGGAACCATCCCCTCTTCCTACTCCCACTAGTCTGCAAAGTCGAAAAGGTTGGGGAACTCTGATCTAGATACAATCCACTAGTTGCTTACTTCCAGAAGCGGGAGAGGGGAAAGGCATCCGTGAGCTAGATGACAAGTTAAATTTGTACGGAAAATTCAAGTCAAAAATGCATTGCACTGTGTGGTGTATCTGAACACAGGTAGACAAAACCTGGCATTTGATCTTGGATATTTCTCTGTGCTGTCGCAGTCTAATACCAAAGCATTCCTGACCCATCACAGACTGTTCCTGGGCCCCAGCCTCACCCAACCAATCATTTCCCCTCTGTCTCCCTCATATCCAAATGCAGTCGACCAGTTTATCAGTTATCCCTCTCTGCCTCACTGGCTGGAGGAAGGGCTCCCCATTCTCCTCCTTCCTGGAAAGAAGTCTGCAAACTAATCTGGTTTAAGATTATCCTGGTTGAGCAGCTGTTGGAACAACTGGCAATAACCAACCAACCCAATGGAAAGAGATGCAGCAGAGTAAAAAGGACAGAAGGATCACTGAATGCCATCCGGAACCAACTCACTATAGAGAAATCCTACTGCAACCCAATGTTACTGTCTTCTCATCTGGGGGCTACATGCTTCATATATATGTATATTTATAGGCTGCCAATGCACACAGTTTTCCCTGGATGGCATCTGTCGGTCTGAATGTATGTGATTGGGTGTACTGGAATGATGGCGAAACACCCAGCCCGTTCCAAATGACCTGTGCTTATAAAAACATGGTCACGTGACAGAAACAAGCTTAGTTCAAACATAAATTTCCCCCTTCCAGAATGTTTGGGATTGAGTGCTTGATCATTATAAAAAGATTCACTTGTTCTGAAGAATCCCAAGATGTGCTTGTAAGAAGGAACCAAAAAACTCAAGAGGAGCAACCACTTCATGTTATGCATATATATCCTGGTTGTTTTCTGAGGAAACAAACTCAGAAGCAGCTTTGTCTAGCTGAACAACAGATGCTAGAGTTTTCTAGCCTGTTACACCAGCCTGCTGACTCTTCTTTTTTCCCCAAATGGTCTTTCGTTGCACCATCAAAACAAACAAATCCACTTTAACACTTCCTTTTGTTTAGGGTCATAAAAATATAGTGGTCTCTCTCTCTCTCCCCCACCTAACTCCAGCCAGCAGCATTTTCTTGATGTTCCAGCCAGGACAAAAGACACACTTAGATCCCGGAGTCCCTTCCTTGGGCCGAGGGAGGAAGGGAGGAGAAGCAAAGCAACCCTCTCGGCAGGATCTTTGGGTGTGGGAAGCAGGAAAGGCCAAAAGGTCAAAGGAAATCTGTCTACTTTTACTTTACTCAATATTCCTGCTGGTTTCGGTATTCATACAAACTGGGGCTTTTTAGGGCAATACTCTTAATTAACCTTTTTTTTAATTTTATCCAAAGATCTCCCATGGCCTTTGAAAGAGAGAGACCTTCCGTGTAGCTCCCGCTCAACCATCCCCCCCCTTTTTTTTCAAGGCAAAAAGCAGGGCTGTGAGAGTTAAGAGAAAGCTTGATTTGCTTTGGTGTGGGCCATACCTTTCCTCTTACCAGTGAATGGTAGGCCTGAGTAATACTATAAAACCTGATTGCCTTTGCATACTTTCACATGTGCAAAGTTCTTAACTCTTCCTTCACATCCACACATGGCAACCAACAACAGACATATACTTCTTATGTACAGTCTCTAAAAGAATTCTCTAAAAAGTAATGTCTTTGGAGTGAACCCCCCCCCCAATTTCTTTCCTTCCTTCCCTGCATCTCCTGGGTGGCACTCTGCTCCTCTTTAGCAGTAGGTCATTCAGACTCTGCCTTAGCATCTTCTTCCTTTTAGAGAAAAGTACAGCAGTTGGACCGTCTCTTCTCTGACTCAATGTAGTCATGGATTTGGAACCTGGGCTCATCCAGCTGCTTCACAGCTCGCTGCTTGAGCTCTCTGGAAATCAAAAGGGTCAAAAATAGTGCTCAGACATTATTTCAAAAGAAGGAACTTTTGAAACTTTTGAAAAGAGAAACGTTTTCCTGGACCATCTAGAAGATTTCATCTTTCTTAAAAGGCAATACTCCAGAATAAGCATGTTAATGTCTACCACCCACCTCTGCCCAGAAATAGATGCCACTCACAACTCCTTCCTAATCTGCTGTGACCTTGAAAACCAGCTACAGTGCATTGGATGTTTCATTTCAACACAAAGATTACCGAGGGTTCCAGAAAGAACAGAACAAATTGCATAAGTGGGCAGCAGCAAAAGGGGAGGAAAAAATTGTTTGTGAAACATCCAAGAAAAAAAAAGTATTAGGAGATGGATGAACTCTCACGGAAAACCTCACAAAGGTATGTAATTTTGGTTGCTCCATTTTACACGTCTGCCAAGGGATTGAATAATTCTCTGATTATGGATAGTAGTGAGAATTCCTTACATGTTTGAAGGTTGAGTTTTATTTGGTCTCACCTCCAATAGCCTTTTCTTAAGAAAGCTCATAGCAACCCAATGACCAGTTATCTTGGGTTTCCCGAGCCCCTCTTTCTCAAATTCTCCTGATGTTTTGGAGCTCATTCCTACCAATATGGCCAGTTGTGCTGGATATTACTATACAAATCTTAGGGCACCAGCCTTGAGTCTTGGAAGGACTTGATAAAATGAAATCAAGAAGACTCAACATCTTCTCCAAATGCTGTTATATAATCCCAGGGATTGAAGGCAAACTATCTGCAGCTGGTTATACTCACTTTGCAATGGCCAGAAATGCCAGTTCCACATTCATACCAGTCTTGGCACTGGTCTCCATGAAAGGCACTCCGTATTCCTGGAATGAAAACAGAGCAAGAAAAAGTGGCAACATTTTGCCAGCAGACACGATGAATCCTTTTTGAATTCCTGTAGTGGAACCTAAACAAAAGCCCTGGAACTTTAAAAATACTAATCCCAGAGAGGGGGTGGAAAATCTTGCTATTTTGCTCAGTTAAGCCTGCTCAGATGACCAGGATACTGTCTGCTCTGCATTAACAGGAGGAGATGCTTGCAGATACAGATGGCTTTTTTCTGAAATTGGGCAGAGGGCTTGGATTACCTATCTCAGCTATGTTACAAGACAGTCACACTTGGACTTGTTCACTTACCCTGGCTAAGGATTCCCCATCTTCTGTTCTGATAACTCGCTCACTGCTCATGTCAGCCTGCAGATAGAAAGACAGGAAGGGTGGGGAAGAGCAAGGAAGCTGAAGCACGCATAACCAGGAGATACCTTAGTAGTGTCTATCTGGGGGAGAGGGGGGTTTAAAAATAGAGACAAAATAAACATTTTCAAATATCCTAGGCAGAACTTCCCTAGAATGCCCATCTTAGCCTCACTCTGCTTCGTCTTCTAACTGATTTTGTTCTAAAATTCCAATTTGAAAAAGAAATGCATTCGGAAGAAAAGCAACAGAATTAGGTTCCCAGCAGAAGTTTGCTCTCAGGTTAATTGTCTGTCTGTGTGTGTGTGTGTGTGTGTTTGTGTCTCTCTCTCTCTCTCTCCGTCCGTCCATTCATCCATCCATCTAATCTGTCTCTCTATCACTATCACTATCTCTTTCTCTCCTTCTCTGTCTCTCTCTCATCTTTCAGTTTATATTGCCAGCTCATCTTAAATTCATGGCTCTGGGCAGCTAACAACACTTAAAGACATAATACAACAATATATATTGTTTATCTATAATTTAATTTGTTATTTATCTATAACAATAAAGTATGCATAAATAATTGGCAACTGAGGTAAATCACCAAAGGAGCAAAAACAAATACATTTATCTACTGCACAGTGGATTCTATCACTGATAAATACAGTGTTGACTCCTAATGGAATTCAGGAAGAATGAAAGCCGACCACCTGCCAGGATTTTAATACTTCGTTTTATTTTATTATTTTTAAAAGCTTGAACATTATGTTTTGGGTATGTTTTAGCTGTGCCATTGTTTGCTCTATGTTCAGTTCAGTTCCATTTGCTGTTCAATTTTACTTTGTAAATTGCCTTGATTCTCAAAGAGAAAGAAAGAAAGGCTATCAATTCGATACATTAATTTCTAATTAATTAACTAAATAAATAGTTTAATTTTAAGCCATTCAGAAAAATAGGCCTATCTGTGCAGCACTGAAGCAGCATAGACATTTGTAGGCCAGAGAGGAAGGGGAGATAACCGCAAAGACATTGCTAACAGGAAAGGCTGGGATGAGGGACACTCACATTGGGGAGCATAAAGGGTTTAGTCCTGACATGTTTTTCTCCCAGATCTTCCAGTGGCAACAGTAGACACAATTAGGGAGTGGTGTTTCTGCCACTATGGCAAAAAAGTAAGTTATTTCCAATTTGAGCTTATCCTCTGGTGCTTGACAGGAACACATTCTGATATTCCATGGTTGGTCAGTTGTTGGCCTTTCCAGCTGTTGTTGCCTCTGCTTTTGAGGGCAGATGGATTGGGGGGGGGAGGGTGTGCCTTAAATTGTCCCCTACTTCCAGGGCAATTCCAAAGGAGTGAAGCTTCAGACTCAGAGTGCCCCCTGCTGGCTCACCTTGGTCAGCAAAGAGGCAAGCTACAAAAACCCATGAAGGGATTTTCCTGCATACCTTATCTTTAATATTATTTTACCATCACCACCACCCCAAAAGTAATTTTTTAATGAAATGTTGGCCCCCATTCAAGAATATTCCCCTGTTTATTTTCTGTTTTTCTTTCTTTTCTATGCTTGAGTGTGTACATTCAGTTTTCATAATGAAACAGTTTTTGTGTTACTTCTAGCCCACCATTCTGCCAAACTGGAATAGCAATATTTTTACTGTCAGAGACATATTTCCTCAGGCATAATCTGCCGGGGAGCACATGGTGGCCAGAATGGAGGCAAATTCCAAGCTCTGCGGCATTGTGGTTCTCTATCTCCTCCTCCCCACACAAGCAGCAGGATTCAAAAAGAGGCATTAAACTTTGGAGATCTGGTCTGGTCTCTTGCATAGGAATTTTGCAGTCACAGCACAAAATCCATATTTAAGTCCATGGATTGCATAATCCTACTTTACAGTATCTGCCACACAACATTGTTTCATCTAAACTATTTAATGAATTGGTGGCTGTTTCTCAAACCGAATTGTGAAATCATGCCCTGAAAAACAATTGCTGCATCTAGGGTCATCAGACGTGGGCTGCAAAATTTCAGATGAGCACAAGGTGGGCAATAAAGAGTTGGCAGTTTCTGTGTCTCTTGATGACCTGCTACATCTCCTTGGAGTGAGAATGGAGATTCGCCCTCCAAGCTTGTAGGTTGGTTTCCGAACGTTTGGTACTAGGTAACATCTTCAGCAGAATTTAGGGATGTCAGTGTCGGGGTTCTTCTGCTTATAAGGGCTTCTGGGGTCAGTAGGCCTTGTGATAGGGAGATCATGTCAGCTGAGGGTCATGTTAGGAGAGGGTTTTGTGATGGGTCTAGTGATGGGTCAGGTTGGGGTCACATCAAGTGAGAGTCTTGTGATGGGTCAGAAGCCCTTATAAGCAGAAGAACACCATCACTGACATCCCCCAAATTCCTCTGAAGATGTTACCTAGCCTGGTAACAAAACATTCAGAAATCAACACACAAGCTCGGAGAACGAACCTCCACCCTCATCCTATACCCCAGCTATAGATATTCACTACTATCGCACTCCATGGAATGCCCAAATCCAAAAATGACTCCTCAGCAAAGTGCCTGGATGTTCCCCCTCCCCCTCTCTGCCCTTTGCCTCAGCACTCCATTTCCCCCTAATTTATTCTTTCCTCACCTACTCTAGGGCTGTTTTTCCTCTTTCTTTTTTCCTGAAGAGTTGGGAGGCCTGGTAGACCACCAGTGATGCTCGACATGTTGATTTTGCCAGAATAGTCCTGGATCCCCTTTGTCTTTGCTTCATGCCAGGAATAAGGGATGCCTCCTCAGCAACATCCCCTTGTCTCTTGGGATGTAGTTTGGCGAATTTAAAAAAAACGTTGTGATGCCAACAGCATTTGGGGGCCCTACAGACTGTGAAGCCTGAAATCTGCATCTGGCGATCCAACACTTCATCACATCTGGCCTCTGAGCAGCTAATGATTGGGGAGGGGTTTGCTAGCAATTTTTAAAAACTTCTTTTTCCATTTTGTCTTACATAAACCATGGGTGATGTTTTTAACACCAACAGTTACACATTGTCTTTTCAGAGCAAATGAGGTGATATGCATTGACTCTCTGACACAACGCAGGAGTTGTGTGAAATGACCCTTGGTCTCATGGAATGAGATAATTAAGGCTTATGTCGTATATCTAACTGGAGCTGACACTTTTAAAAAAAAGGGAGGGGAGGAAGGAGCCATTTGTTTGGGAGACTTCATGATTTAAAGCAAAGCAGAGTTAAAATAAAATGTTACACTCCGAAAACCAATGTGTTATGTGTGTGTACGAGTTTATAAATATATTCAGCTAAGCCTCTTTCAAATAAGGCAAATCTAAGCTCTATTTCCCAGTCATGGGCATAAATTTTTTGATTTCCTGAAAGGGGAGCAAGGGCAGAGTGCTGTTGAATAATAGGTGTCAAAAAAACGTTTCATAGATTTTCATGAAAATTCAAAACAATAGAAAAGGTAAATTGGTCATTTTAGTGCTTTTATTCATGTGTTGGTTTGATTGTACCCCACATTTATTATTTTTGAAAATAAGGTGGCAAATATAACCAATATACTTTCCTCCTCCTCCTCCTCCTCCTCCTCCTCCTCCTCCTCCTCCTCCTCCTCCTCCCTTCCCCAGAACAACCCTGTGAGGTGGGTTGGGCCAAGACAGAGTGACTGGCCCAAAGTCACCCAGCTACCCTTCGTAGCCAAGCAGGACTAGAATTCACTGTCTCCTGGTTTCTAACCTGGTGTCTTAATCACTAGACCAAACTGGCTCTTGGAGAGTGGAAGACACATCATCTGAATGAAACAAGGATGCCTTAATGGAATATGCTTTGCTGAGATGGTGCTTGCAGGATTTGATGACCATCAAACTTAGTTGGCCATCCAAAAAGGGGGCTCTAGGGAATCCTGAAAAAGCCCAAGCACTGTTGTTTCCCTGAAGTGCTTATCTATGTTCCCAGTAGTCCAAGGATTAGCAAGCCTGCTTTGATGTTATCTGTCCCACTATTCTTGGAGCATCTTGTTCAAAACACAATCTAATGTCATCCTGCATAATTATTATCCTGGATATATTTGGTCTGAGAAAAAAAAATGCCCCAAGAGTCTTATATTTCATACCTATTTGGCTCTACTGGTTGAAAACTTTTTTTTTTTTGATCCCATGTCTTCTAGAAATATTATTCACAATGATCTTCTATTAATGATTTGGAATAAGCCTCTGCAAATCATTCCACAAACTGCTTTCCAGCAATTCTTCCAAAGAAAATGTCACCGGTGAAGCCTCCCAACAGGTGAGCTAAGATATCAAGCCACTACTTTGCAGCTTTCAAGAACTGCATCCAAAATCACCTTGTTGAAAGACTGCACAGACCTGCTGTGCAGAACTATTGTTTATTTGTTTATTAAATTTACATACCCCCAGGGGTGAAATGTAAAATCTGTTACTACCGGTTCTGTGGGCGTGGCTTGGTGGTAGGGGTAATGTGACTGGGTTGGCGTGGCCAACTTTTTTTAAAAAAAAACTTTTCAAAGCATTTTTTCTAATGCTTTGAAAAGCCTCTCTGCCGATCAGGAACTCAGCTGGGATCCTCAGAGACTTTTCAAAGCATTATTTTTACCACCTCTTCAGCCAAGATGTTGCAGAAAAAAATGCTTTGAAAAGACTCTGATGATCCCAGCTGAGCCGCGCGATCATCAGAGCCTTTTTTTTTTACTTTTAAAAGCATTTTTTCATCGGAAAAGGTTGTAGAAAAAATGCTTTTAAAAGTAAAAAAAAAAAAAAAGCCTCTGATGATCCTGCGGCTCAGCTGGGCATGGTGGCGGGGGGCAGGGATTTTTGCTACCGGTTCTCCGAACCACCCGCCACCATCGCTACCGGATCAGGTGATCCGGTCCGAACCAGGAGCATTTCACCCCTGTATACCACCCATCTCACTATCTAAAGTGACTCTAGGTTGCTTACAGTGCTATGAAAGCATAGCTTATTTATTTATAAATATATAATCCTCAGCAAGGTTAGAAAACTGCATCTGATCTACTAAAAAGTGGGGGACTATAAATTCAAAGCAACTGAGAAATAAATAGCAGTCCCAAGAAAACTCATAATGTACCCAAGGATAGGAAGCATCTTCATTTATTAGCCATAAAGCAAAAATGGGATGAAAAATTCCTTTGTAAAAGGGATGGGGAATTTATGGCTCTCTAAATGTTGCTGAATTACAAGTTAGCTATGCTGACTTGAATTAGTTCACCAATCTTGGGAAGATCCAGGTTCCTCAATCTTGGGTTATGAGCTGATCACAACAGAGAAATATGCAAAGCACACTATGATTAATTAAACATTTCTCACAATGAGACCATTAAGAGCCATAAAAGTTGGAAAATGTCTTCAAGACAGTATAAATTTGTATTATCAATCAAAATTACATACCTTATTACCCAGAAGCATGATAACCACATCCTTTTGGGCATATTCATGGATTTCTGTGAGCCAAGCCTGCAAGGGAATGTTGAATGTGATGAGATGAAACATAGCTGAGAAGAAACACCAAACTTCAAGACTTTGAGTTATCCTGCCATCTTGCTGCTTGTTTACCTTTAGTACACAGCAATTGTTATCAGTTCGGCCATTGTGATTTGTAAATCTTGGCATATGTCTTACTGTGTTGTGCGAACCTGATTAGAAATATGGGTTTGCTCAGTGTAGCAATTAATTAAGCAATCCATGGTTTAGTGCAGTTTCTGGACCCAGCCACTGAATTAATTTAATTTGATTTTATTCTATTTTTTAAATTTTGTATTGTATGTGTTTTTATTGTTTGGCTGTGCACCGCCCTGAGTCCTTCGGGAGTAGGGCGGTATAGAGATCTAATAAATAAATAAATAAATAAATAAATAAATTACATGAGCTCTCAGCATTTAAGAAGGGAAGAGGTAGGCCAGATCCTCTTGCTCTGATAAGAAGTAGCTCAAACAATCTTTAGGATGGGTATCCCTGAAGGTCCAATGAAGATCTCTTAGTCTCACACAGTTTTGGGTACTGTCCCTTTTGGCAATTGAGCCAGTTTTGCATCAGATGTGCTAGGACATGGGGATAGTTTCCTATTAGAAGGAACTTTAAAATTACACCCATTTCCCAGACTTCCCATAACCCTCACAGAGCTTAAGGCACCAGTGTTCCATGCTGCCCTTACAGCTGTCTACCTGGCCAAAGAGGCAGACATTTCACAGATCTCCTACCCAGTAACTAGACCCATTTTACAAAATATCACTCAGCCTAAAGTAGGACAAGGATCAGGAACAGAGTCCTATCTGGACAACCATTTTTTTTTTGTAATCTTCTTAGCAGTCAGCTCTTGACTGCTCAGCATTTTGTGCATGCTGGCTATTAGAATTGCAAAGTATCTCAAAAATTATTCTGAAGGTTTGGAGAGGAATGTGGCAGCTATATGGAAGTGCTTCTATTCCTGACAACCAATTGCAAATAATATGAAATACATATGGATTTCTCTTTTTGTTTTTAGCTTGATTTTCCCTTTTCTTCTTCATCTGTTCCTCTGACAAATTGTAGTCTGCTAGTTCTTTGGGGCAGGGATATTTTCTCTTTGTGAAGTATGAAGCACAGAGATATAGCACATATTCCTACCCAAATAAAGTTTATATCAGTACTGCAAAAAGGTAAAAGTTTCCCCTGTCCAGTTGTATCTGACTCTAGGGGGAGGTGCTCATCTCCTTTTCTAAGCTAAGGGAGCTAGTATTGTCCGAAGACATTTCCATGGTCATGTGGCCAGCATGACTATATGCTGAGGCACACGGAACACTGTTATCTTCCCACTAAAGTGGTACCTATTTCTCTAGTCACATTTGCATGCTTTTGAACTGCTAGGTTGGCAGGAGCTGGAGCAAGTAATGGGAGCTCATTCCATCACACAAGGCTCGGACCTCAAACCTGGGCTGTCAGCTTTTCAGCTGTGTGTTTAACCCAGTGTGTTTAACCACCGAACCATTGCGCCTCCTATCAGCACTGAGTTATTGAAAATATTTTATTCCCATCTTTTAAAATTCTTGTCTTTTCAAGGGCAGGTGATCCTCCTTTTTGTCTTTTGCTGATTCCTGTACAACCCAGTGCATTTAGACACTGAGACACAAGAACACCTCAAACCAGGATATATTTACTAATCAGATTACAACTTTAGCTTGCTATTTGATTCCTGTGTGAGCAAAGGCTGGGGGACCATCTTGAATCAACAGTAGGCATGAAATACCCACCCGAATACTGTCAAAGGAGACTTTGTTGGTGATATCATAAAGGAGGAGGAGAGCTGGAAAAAAAAGAAAAATCTGTTATTTGATGATTTTGTAATTTTCTAAAATGACCAAACTATCAAGAACACATGTGGCCACACAGATCAATTCAAACTATGAATCCCTCTATCCTGAACTTCAATTATGTAAATCTGTTGGCAATCTCAATCCACAGGCACACTCCCACCCTTGCTCAACATAATCTGTTTGATGGAAAACTGTGGGGTTTAAATCTAATGTTGTCTATACATTAGACAACATATAGTCAAAGCTATACCAGCTACTTCAACATAGTGCCTATTGAGATGCATCATATTTTAATTCTCATGCATTTCAGGGAAGATACGAAGATGAAGGGAAAGAGATGAGCTATGTCATAAATATAGTTGGATGGAGACAAAACAGAAAATCCCGTTTGTTTTGAGCTTGATACAAAACAATCCCCTTAAAACATTCCATTGACATATTCAGAGTAGGTTTGTTCTTGCTCTTAACAAACCTTACTTCACACACACATTTTGTTTTAAGCTTGGAACGCTCCAAGAGGCCATTTCAAACTCAAAATATTGCACACTGCTAATATATTGAACAATATAGATTGTTCTATATATAAAATATAGAACAATATATCTAACTGTGGCATTATCATTTGGTGTTAGATCTGAGCAATGAAAGAGCTACTCCACTTATCACCCCAACTCTGATTCAATCTGAGATGAAGGAAGGCAGCATCCTAGAGGACCAACCTTGTGCATCACGATAATATGCGTGTGTTACACTCCGGAACCTTTCCTGACCGGCTGTGTCCCAAATCTGCAATAAGGCAAAGACAGAAACCCAAGGAAACATTTTTCATTGTATTCCATTAGAGAAGCCCAGCTGTAAAACAAATATTAGTGCAACTAAAATTCACAGACAGTACGTGCAAAATGAAATTCTTGGATAGTTCTCTGAATTATGTCTATTAGAATCAAGATAGTTTTTCCAAATAAGAGAATACAAATAAATTATGTGATAGTATTACAGAATTCAAGTCACCATATGGAAGTGATAATGCAAATGTAAAAGACTGAAATACAACTATCTCATGAATCCACCAGGATTTGAGGGGGGGGGATCCAGAAATTTGCAAATAAATAACTCTCACATTCTCAGACACATGCCACCAGTACCAATATATAAAATGGTTCATATATAGTATAAATAGGGCTATGCAATGCATTGAATTTAATTTAGAAAAAATGTTTCAGAATGTACAAATCTGCAAACATAGCCCGTCTCACAGAAAAAGACAAGATGCTGGTTACCATCATGGCTATACAAGGAGTGACCCATCTGTAATAGTTTCTGCCTGCTCTGTATAACTCTGCCTTGAACCGTAAAATGGGTGGCAGATAGGTAGGTAGGTAGATATATAGGTAGGTAGATATATAGGTAGGTAGGTAGGTAGGTAGGTAGGTAGGTAGGTAGGTAGGTAGTTAGATAGATAGATAGATAGATAGATAGATAGATAGATAGATAGATAGATAGATAGATAGATACAGACGGATAGATAGACATAATGAAACAAAATGTGCATGGTCCAGTTCCTATTAAATTATATCCCCTGATGGGATTCAGGAAGCAGGCTTTCAGAATTTTTGCAGAATTTCTGCATTGGTTTTGTTCCAAAATATACAGTTCATTGTTCTTATTTTGATTTCTATTGTTTTTAATTATGTACGTTGCCCCAGAATCTTCTGGCATTGGGCAATCCTATAATGCTAAAAAATACTTAAGTAAATCTGGTTGGTTATCTGATAAAAGAAAGATAAACATCAACTGAATGATGAGGAAGAGGCTGCAGAAGAGATAAAACAAAATCATATATATTACCTCTGTAAAAACACAATCTTGTATAGGGAAATTTTCACACAATTTGAGTACATCTATAAGCTGGTAGCAAACCTTCCCCCTCTCCCCTCCAAAAATGGTGCTGAGTGAAGAGCTACCAACTAATTTCAAGGACTCTTGGATGACACGGATTTCCTGTTTCCATTTTAATTTGGATTCAGGGCTGATTTTGCCACATGGGATTAGCAAGGAGCCGATACAGAGAATGCTTTGTTGGAAAGCAGGATTTCTTTGGAAGTCAGCCACATCTATGGCTTTTACTTCCACATGCCAAGCGGAAATGTAATAGCTGAAGCCTTGAATGGAGAAAAATGGCTTGTCTCACAGGAACTGAATATATAGGAGACCTTTTTCAGAATAGAAAAAACGGAAGGAGGGCACTTAGAGGACTTCATAGAAAATGCAACTTTGGTGTATCAATCGGACCTACCTGCAGTTTCACTTTTACATCATCCACTGTTACCACTTTATTCTGTAAGAAACAAAAAGACCCCACATTTATATAAACAGCAAATTAACAAGAAGAACTCTATATTCAGCTTTGAGTTTTTAGATCACCTGTGAGAAAACAAAAAGCTAAATTCCTTTCTCATGATTTTCTATAACTTCCAGTTTAAAATTCCATGGAACAATCAATAATAGCTAGAAGGTAACAAGCTTCATGCATGTCACAAAGGTGCTTTTTTTTCAAGAGGCATGAGATGAGAAGTGTCTCTGAGATGAGTCTTCAAAGAAAAACCAGAAAGTCCAGTTGCCTCTTGAAAAACAAGAGACAACCTTTGAGACAACCATGACTTGGATAACTGAGAATCTCCATAGACGTTGAGCTTCATGCATATTGCTGGCACAATTGGTGCACTGAGATTTTAGGTAAGACTGTAAGCAGCATATCTGAACAAATATTATATATTTAGTTGTTGCTCTTTGCCTGAAATCTGAGGATCGAAAATATCATATTTACTGGGATTGCATGCAAAGCAACCCTATCGGCTAAGACAATGCTTGTTAAGCTGGTTATCAGCAATTATTGGTACAACTAAAATACCTTACATTTCTTCCACATATATATTTTGTAAACTCTGGATTGAAGTAATGACGACTGCACTAATAGCAAATAATATTTTATAGATTATCAAGTGCTCATTGTTCATTTTTTTCATCATTCACCACACAAAAGAAATTAGCACAACTTTTGGTACTACATTTGTGGCAACTTACATCTACAAGTATTCATGGATCAGCGGAATATGATGCGTAAATGCTTATACAATTACCGTTTTTAAGGCTTTAAAGGGCCAAAACATGGTTATTGTTCTAAACATAGACAAAAGAATCAGTTGGATAGAGTAGGCAACAATGCCTTTTGCTACAAAATCCACAATCAAAATCCTAAGCTATTAAAACAGTGATAAGGGAGATGCACCTTCCTCTGTAAGTTCTCACTACTGTATTCAAGGAATTGTGTTGCCCCAGACCAGTGGTGGGTTGCCCCCGGTTCAGACCAGTTCTATAGAACCGGTAGTAAAACCGGCGGGAGGCTCCGCCCACTGACCCTGATGTCATCAGAAGCAATCTGGGCATGCGCAGAAGGTGCGTGCGCGATCCCGTTGCGAACCGGTAGTAAAGATAAGTAGAACCCACCCCTGACCCAGGCCATACCATCAGAGAGTGATTACAATATAGAGGCCAAGGCAAGTTATTTAGAACAAGTGCAACACACAGTAAATAACAAATGTGATCCAGGAAGATCAGGAGAAATGCTGAATTATAGAACCCTCTGAAGAACTTTGGACCACCTCACTTTCTCTCAGCCCATTGCAGCTCGTAAGATTATTGTTTGGGAAATAAAACGAAAGAATATTCCCACATCATCATCTGTCTCGAGCTCCAAAAGGACTGGGATACAAATGCTCATCATCACCACCACCACCATCGTCTTCATTCATCATTCATCCATCCACTATTATTTTCTCTTCTTTAACAGTTTCACCCTATAAGCTTTGCAAATTTTTCAAAGCGGTTGAAGCGGATGCATCATTTGCAAGTCTCATGTGGCTGCTTCAAAAAGTTCTCCCAGGTCTCTCTCCACATGAGCATGGAGTCACTTTGCTTTAACCAAATTCAAGGAGAAATGCTTCACTGTAATACAGTGGACTAAAGCACTGTTATTAACAGATTAACATCTGCTGCTTGCAATTACTGCAAGTTCAAATCTCACCAGGCTCAAGGTTGACTCAGCCTTCCATCCTTTCAAAGGTAGGTGAAATGAGGACCCAGATTGTGGGGGCAATAAGCTGACTTTGTATAAATATACAAAAGTATGAAAGCTATTGCTTAACGCATTGTAAGATACCCTGAGTCTCTGGAGAAGGGCAGCATATAAATTAAAGCAAAAAAAAAAAAAAAAATGCCTAGGAACACAAAAGGGTATAATTACATTCTTTATATTCTGGAGCAACTATGGAGAAAAAAATGGAACAGGGCTGTGGTGAAATCCAATTTTTTTTTACTACCGGTTCTGTGGGTGTGGCTTGGTAGGCATGGCAGGGGAAGGATACTGCAAAATCCCCATTCCCACCCCACTCTGGGACCAGCCAAAGGTGATATTTGCCTCTTCTCCAAACTACTCAAAAATCCCATCACCGGTTCTCCGAACTGCTCAAACTTTCCACTACCGGTTCTCCAGAACCTGTCAGAATCTGCTGGATTTCACCCCTGGAACAGGGTATTAAAAAAAAAAAAAAAGGCAGGAAAGAACTATAGTAAGCCTTCATCTTCCATCCATCAATCCTCCCTGCAATGCCTTCCTCTCCTGGCATTTAAGATTACACGGCAAGCATGGGGCAATAGAAAAGACACTCATGGTTATACTAGTTTATATGTTTTTATGTGTGTGTGTGAGAATGGTAGGTCACTGCAATGTGTTGATGAATTAGGGCACGAGTTCATACTCGTGGTGTCACATTGCTTTCATGTGACGTATCGCGACTTTTTTCCTTCACGGAATTGGAGTGGGCATGGCCTGCATGTGACATATCCACCAGTCATTTGCAGGCCACCTGTTTGACACCCACGAATTAGGGGGATCCTAACATAGTGCCCAGCAGGATAGCAGCACCAGTCATGGCTGATATAAAGAAGCTAAGCCAAGCCTGGTTAATATTTACAGTGGGTAACCATTAGGAAATCCCTATAGCAATGATGGCTAACCTTTTCGGCACCAAGTGCCCAAAGCGCAGAGGCACGAATGCGTGTTCACACCTATAATGCAATGTGCGCACGACCCCCGTGCACCCCACCCTCATGCATGCACGCCTGATACCCTGCATCCCCCCGCCCTCCCACACATGACCCCACACCTTCATGCATGACTCCCATGCATGTACGCGTGACCCCCCCTGTGTGCGCCCTGCCCTTTGCGCATGCGTGCACATCTCCCGCATGTGCCCCGCCCCCATGCATGCACAGCAGAGACCCAAAAACCAGCTTGTTGCAATATTTTCAGGATCAGACTCAATAAGATTAGTAAGAGTTAAAGGTTTAAATATATTTCCTTTTATTTACAATAGGCATTCTATATTCACTGAATATTCACAGATAGAAGCAAGGAAAAGGGTGCATGTAGCTCCTTATATATACAATGGGTGGAGCTATATGTGGGAGTGGTGAATTATGAATACATTAAGAAGTGGAGAATAAGTTAACCCCTGATACCCCGTTCATATACTATTTACACATTAGAGAATAAGGCATTTACATCTGACAAATCCCCCTCTAAATGCCGATTCGTTATGCAACACCAATTACATTCAGATTCAGGACAATACAAAACATACAACTTAGAAGTTAAATATTTATGTTGCTTAGAAGGTAAAGGCTTTGTCAATATGTCAGCTAATTGTTCTGAAGTATCACAATGCACTGCTTTGATAAATCCATCCTGAGATAATTGTCTCACATGTTTAAATTTTATATCTATGTGTCTGGACCTTTGTCCAATAGCATCAGATCTAGATATTTCAATGGCTGCTTTATTGTCTTCATGCATAACAAAAGGCAAAGCAGGTTTTTTCCAAACATCTGAAATTAAATCATTAAACCATACAAGGTTATTTGCAGCTTTGGATAAACAAACATATTCCGCTTCTGTCGTTGAAGTGGCCACTAGTTCCTGTTTACCAGTGTACCAGTAAACTGGACAGTCATTTAAGAGGAATATATAACCAGATGTACTTTTTCTACATGAGGTGTCTCCAGCCCAGTCCGCATCTGCGTAACATGTAAGCTTTGGTTCTTTATTGTCATTAGGTTCTAACATTAAACAAAAGTCTAGTGTACTTTTCAGATATCTTAAAATTCTTTTAACAGCTTCCCAGTGATACATTGTTGGTTTGCTGACATGTCTGGATAATAAATTGAGTGGTAAGGCGATATCTGGTCTTGTCCAATTAGATATATAAAGAAGTGAACCTATGATTGATCTATAAAATGTGTTATCCTTGAATTCGGGGGAAGATTCATCAGTATTTCTTAGAAAATCAGTTTGCATAGGAGTATCACAAGGTTTGGCATTGTTTAAATTGCATTTATTTAAAAGTTCTATGATCTTATCTCTCTGAGTAAGTTTGAATTCCCTTCTAGTCTTATTAATTTGAACACCAAGATATTTGTTTACTTTGCCTAGAGATTTTAACGAGAAATGTTCATTTAGCTTAGTAACAAAAGTTTCTCTTCTCTCTTTATGTTTTCCTATGTATAAAATGTCATCCACATAAATCAATACAAATTCAATGTAATCATCACCCTTTTTGACAAAGAAACAGTTATCAGCAGTGGTAGCGTTGAAGTCCATGGTTTTAAGTACTTTTACTAAACAGTCATACCATCGTTTACCAGATTGTTTTAACCCGTACAAACTCTTGTTTAACAACCAAATCTCATTTTTGTTTGTGTATTGACTGTGAGGTGCTCTTACGTATATTTCCTTATCTAGTTTTGCGTGTAGATACGCAGTCTGTATGTCATATTGAAATACATCAAGATTGAGTGCTGATGCTACCACTAGAGCTGTTTTGACACTCTCTGTTCTTACTGTGGGAGAATACGTGTCAGTATAGTCCTCCGGATATTTCTGTGCATAACCTTGTGCAACTAGTCTGGCTTTGTATAGAGTATTGCCTCCCTCTAAGTTCTTAATTTTATATATCCACCTGGTACCAATAATTGTTTTATCTTTAGGTGCAATTGCAGGTGTAAATACATTTAATCCTTGTAAACTTTCCATCTCCTTTTTCATCGCTAATTCCCATTTTTCTTTTTCTTCACGAGGGAGTTTTAACACTTCCTCATATGTATTAGGTGTTGTTGGCTCACCATCCGTGTGCATTATATAATCCTTGTATTTATTTGGCATTTGATTTCTGGTGTTTCTAATAGTTTTTTCAGGTTTACTATCGTTATCATGCAAATATC